CCAGGCATAAAAAAAAAAAAAAAAAAAAAATGCAGGTTTGAGGGTAGAGTTCTAGAACTTGGGATTAAATCTGACACTGACATGCAGTGAGAGTTCCTCACGCCCCGGAAGCCGGGCCACACAGCTGCGCAATGGGGCCCTGGTTAGAGCTATTTCACCCCTGCCCCTACCAGGCCTAGCGCCGCACAGAATAAGCACGAGAGCCACTCACACTTGGGTCAGGCCTCCTGACACCGCTGTCAGGGGCTGGGGACACAGCGACGAGCTCTGCATTCTTGTGGGCGACAACTGAGGAGAAGAAAGAAATCGTTTCAGATCCGGAGAGTGGAGGAGCAGGTGGCTGGGCACGCCCTGCAGTGTAGGGAGCCTTTGTCTGTACAATGTGTGATTTAAAAAGGCGAATGATTACATTTTAGAAATGAACTAGAGAGAACACTGGCACTGACCCCCTCCAAAGCCCCCTGGATTTGACCACACTTCTCCCCCTGTCCTTGCCACTTTCCGAAGCGGCTCCAGAGTCCTCTTTCGTGAGGCTCGTTGCTTGCACAGCCCTGGCTGCCTCGGTGTCCTGAATCAATCAAACGTTTCCCTTTCATGGATGTTTTGACCGTGCCAGATCCCTTGAATAAAGTGGGTGAGGACACCCTGTGACGTCTTTATCTTTTTGTGGCTGCTAAATGTTCTGAAATTGAATCAAAACACTTGGGGCAATTTCTGCCAAATAGTCACAAAAGAAGGCTTCCAGAAATATTTCACCAAGTGACAAGAATGATGGGGATAAGTGTGTTCAAAACAAGGGGGAGTATTTTGAGGGGGATTCATGGCAATGTGTCTTTTACTGTAATTAAAAAATTTAAGCATTCGTCATGTCTTTTGCTTGCACCTCCTATGTTTGAGCTTGATCGTGAGTGATGGGGAGAAGTGAGCTGCACAAGGAGCTGGGAGTAGACTAAGAAGTAGAGAGAGCAGCAAGTGCAAAGGCCCTGGGGCAGGAGCTTGTTGGTATGTTACAGGAAAGAGGCAATGTGAGGCCAATATGGCTCAGTGTGGTATGGAATGGGCCAGGCCAACAGGGCCAAATCATGTAGGACTTTGTTAGCTATTTTAAGAGCCATGAGAAGCCATTGGGCTTTTAAAAAGAAGATATCACTGACTGCTATGTGAGAGATGAGTAGCCAAGTGGCAAAAAGGGAAAGAGATGCTGGCGTTGGAGATAAGGAGATGGGTTTGGGGCTTCCGTGGGCTCCAGGCCAAGAGATCTTGTTCTTTGCCACATGCCCAGCCAATCTTCCCCATGTCCCTGAGTCCTGGCCCTGTCCTCCTGCCCTGTGGCTCATGGTTCTCTGGTGCCCTCCCTCAGCCTTGTGCTTTCCTGCCTTTTCCAGCTGTGCTGCTGACCCAGCCTCCAGCCCAGGATGGGGCTGAGCACCCTGCTGGCTGCTGCTGGGCATCCTGCTGGCCCCCAGCTCTGGATTGGCTCCCTGGCTGGCGGCACAGCTGCTGTCTCTGCTCCCCCAGCCCTGCCCTGGAAACAGCAGCCACCCCTCAGGGCCAGGGAGCCATCAGACAGACCCTGCAGGAGACTCATCAGCCCAGGGCCATGGTCACTTCAGGACTGGAGAGCAGCTAGCACCCCTGCTGCGGACTCCCCAGCCCCTCCCGCCATCGCCCACGCTCAGACCCCACCTTGAGATTTCCCTGTGGCTTGGAAGGAATCTCTGCCCTCCTTCTGCCCTTCTGGAAGCTTCTGGGCTGCCGCCTTCCACCCGTAGCTAGCGGGTCCTCGGGGGAAAGCAAATTTGCTATTTTCGCCTGGGAAAACATAATTAGGGAGGCAGATTGCTGCAAACAGCATCATATCATGGATCCTAAAGCCAAATGGTAATGATCTTTGGATTCTCCACACGGCTTCTCCGCAGTGGCAAACACACCAGAGTTGGAGGCCGGCTGTGTTCAAGGCCATTTGTGTCTGTCCGGTGTCTACTGTGTGCCAAGTCCAGGCTGGGGTCTCAAGGGTGGGGAAGGCGAGACCGAGGACAGGGTTCGGAGCTTTGTTGTCGAAGCTGATGACCCACCGAGGAGCGGGAATGGTGAGAGAGTCATGGCTGGGTTAGGACTCCCCTGCACACCCCAGCACTGCATCTCCCCTTTCACTCATAGTCCTTTTGGTGGCACCAACATGCCTGGCTCCATGTCTCTCTGGCCCTGTCTTGTTTGTTCCCAGCCTCCCT